TTCAATAAATTATTTAAAGTAGGCTATATAAACGAAAACATGTTTCTTCAATAAAATCTCTTCATTTTAAGTTTGAATTATCAACTAATAATTCAAAGTTTTTTTAAAAATACACTTGAAATTCTTTAGTAATTCTTCAATGTCACCCGTTGAAATTTTATTTATAAATAATAATATTAGTTTAAGTTCATTTTATTTTATTTATTTTTCGTTTTAGGCTCTTTTCACCTTTTAGGCACTAAGATTTAATCATACCATACCCATCGTGGGTTTGACCAGACCACAAAGGGATGACCGAATAAGTGAGGAACAACGACTGCACACAAAAATTTTTGAGGTTTATTTTATTATTATTTTATTCTATTTTTCGACATTTTTTAAATAGAAATTAATATTGTAATGAAAAAGTAGGTCACTTAAAGATATAGGCCTGCTTATATAGTTCTTATGAAAATAATTTCATGAAGTATCCACATGCACGAAGCTTAAATGCTATTTGCAATTAGAAAGATGTAATTGTAAAAATTACGCAAAAGAAAAAATAATTTATATTTTAAAATAAAGCATTTGTATTTACATTTTGCTCCTTCGTTAGTCTATCCATTGCCTTTTAATAATTATTTTAAAAAATCTCGAATACAGTCAGTTTGCCTCTGAAATTCGCACTAAATCAAATATGGTGCTAACTGAAATACCTCAAACAATAAAGAATTATAAATTATATATAATATTGGAGTCTTTACTCAAGCCTGAGTTCGGGAGTTCGAAATTCACGTGATAACAATGTTATCAGTACAAAATCATACATGTAATAACATATAGATACTATTTCTACTTATATTTAAGGGGAAGATCCGTTCATATATATTCATTAACGCTTTAAGAAACTATTTAAAAGAACGTTAAATCGAGGTTTGACTGTACATAAATTTAAATTCTTGTAAAAATTATAGAGAATCGTTTTAATTATTTAATGTATGTGTAATCATTCCGTAAATATTTCAAAACATAATAATAAATAATTTAATAATGAATGAATAATTTAAGTATGAATGAATGAGTTAATTTAATATGAAATTTATGTATTTCCAAGAATTCTATGCAATTGTTTGAATATTTGTAACCCTGTTTATTTTTTATTACAATAATTTTGTAAATTAGAAAATTACTATTATTTTTATATGAATAATAATTTAATTTAATAAAAATAACGTAATTTACAAACAAAATTAATTTAAAGTATATTTTTATAGAAACTAATAAAACAAATATTAAAAATTATTTTAAAAGTTTTTGTATATTATAAATATAAGACTTTTTATATAAAGTTTAAAAAATATCTCTAATTTTATTTAGAATTTCTATTTTAATTAATTTTAAAAATCTAATTTCTGTATTCTCAATGAAAGCATTTAAATATTTGGCTAAGGAGAAATTCATGGTATATTTAGGTACTGTACTTGAAATACATTAACAAGTTTACTACTAACTTAAATATATTTAATAGTAGTAATAAATATATTTTATAAAAACGTATTTACTTACATTAAATATATAAAATTATTAATATAAATACAATATTAAAATATAGTGAAGAAATTAATAATTAATAAATAATTTCTATATTTTAAGCGACAAATACAATGGACTCCCGGTGTTACGACCTATCTCGTTACTGAAGTCATTAATTAAGAGAGCCGTCGTAAATTGAACCTTTGATATCCCGCAGGCTTAATGTCTTAAATTGAAATTGTATTCCTGGCAGTGCACAATAGCACATAGAGGTGGTTAATAAAAAATATGGCTTTTATATAATTGTAATAAAAAATGTATGTAGTAGTTTGTTGTGTTTAATTCATCTTACCTAACCCCGATTTTTTTTATTAATTTTTCACCCATGATATATTTATTATTAGAATTTAAAACATAAACGTTGTAGAGATATAAATGATAAATAAATACGAAATTTTTACAAAATTTAATATATAGTGATTATTTTTATTTGAAATTTCATACACTTTTAATTAATTTGCTGTCTTATGTTTACAAAGGATTTTTAACGGTAATTAAGCATATTTTTAAAAATAATTTTAGGTTATTTACATTTTTCTTATTAATTAAAAACGTAAATGATGGCTTTAGACAGTAATCTAGATAAATCACCGAGCCTTTGCTCTGTTAAGCAATTAAAATTTTTTTTTAATTACCAAGATTTCTATTTCTAATCCTTAACAGTATTTAGACACTATTTTTAGATTTTAAGGTTTTTCTTTATGTATTTCTTTCTTTTATTCGATACTCACTAAAATAATATATGCACTCAATGATTGTCGAGTCGAATAATAATATTTATTGACATGTGTCAAAGGATGCCATGCCTCTTTCCAAAGCCTGTTTCAAACACCCTAAATTAATAAATAATAGTTATATAAATTAAATAATATATACGCAAATGTATGAACAATAAAAGTAATTAGTATAAATAATTATTTTTGTTGTTCATACATTTATCTATCTAAAGATTTTTAAAAAGTAAACTTTTAAAAAGTCTTTTTTGTAAAATTGTGTAAAATTCTTTAAATTCTTAATGTTTATTATGAAATTGTAGATTTATTTCTAAATTTAAATAAATAAATATACAGGTTGTCGCACAAATCTAGAACAGTGATGACGAACCTTTTTCCACAGGTGGATCAAAATTAAATTCGAATCGCAGTTCTAATATTTAATTTGACTAATTAAAAAAACTAAAAAATGTTTATAAGTTTTACTTTATTCAACTGTTTAGTCTGTAGCAGAGAAATAAGAATAAACTCTATATAAGTGAAAAGAAAATAAGTTAATAACGTGGTTATAACAGAACCAAATATTTCAATTTAATGGGAAATCTGCTTCTATTTATTTGATATACGCTAATATTTCTATTCGACGTTCATAGTCAGTAGCTTTTAAGACTTTTCACGACAGCTTTAGGACTTGCTTTCACACTACATATAAAAAAAAGTATGATAGATTTTTAAAAGTTTGCATAATTTATAAAAACCTGAGAGTATCCTGAAATCCCCTGTAGAATATGAGTTCGCCGTCACTGATCTATAGCCGTAGGAGTTAAGTTGATCTTTGTTTATTCTTTTGTAGGTAAAGTATGGTGCTGAGTAAGAATAAATTCAAATTACACTACTTTGATGGTCAGGATCCACAGTCAGCGTGAAGTAACCAGTCTGCACCCAGACTTATCCTTAATGACACAAAATAACCTGTTAAACTCTGACAACTTCACGCTGACTGCTGGTCCCAACTATCAAAATGATTTGAATTTATTCATTCTTAGCGCCATGCTTTACCTGTAAAAGAATATACAAATATTAACTTAACGTTTATGGTTCCACACTTAGGGGACACCCTGTCCGATAATTCTAGACACATTAAGTTTATATATAAATTATAAAAAATCGTTATAGAATTATTTCCGGTTTTACCACTTGTTAACATCTTTGAATGCAGTAAGTTCAAGGACTAAAGAAAGTGACCCACTTAACGAGTTTTGTGGTCGTTCACCTATATCAAGGTTTTATAAATCATTTCCTAACAGTAAACCTCGTTTCTACCAACAATACTTCAGAAAGTAAAACTGTAAACAATAGATATTTTACAAAATACTCTTTTGTGCTATTTTCACTTATTAAAAGACAACAGAAAATCTGTTTTAAGGAATGTTTTTAATTAGATAGCTTATTATTGCAAAACACTCTTGGTTTAGAAGGTTTACTTAGCAAAACTTTGAAAATATAATTTTAAACATTGTTAAATGGTAGAACTTTCATATTGAAGAAAGTCACTTAGCTGTGAATTATGTCTTAGATATGAATTATTACTCATCCAAGGAAGAGAGGGAGAAAAGAGAAAGGAAGACGTTCTAGGAAAGAGTGGTTCGAACACATGAAGCAGAGAACAAAACTTGGGATAGAGTCTGCTTCAGACAGAATTTTTTTCTTTTCTTCTTCCTCTCCGTAGTCCAGTTTGGACTGCCAAGACAATCCTGAAGACAACCAATAGAAAACTTTTCCATCTCTGTTCTTCCATTTTCTTGTTAAATCCTACAGGGTTGATTCAATCTACTTGACAGAATTATATGTAGACATTTAAGACATTTTTATATACAGAATATATACATATATGTATGTACAGTATATATATAAATGTGTTAAATGTTTACATATATAGATATAAATAAAGACGTATATATATATATATGAAGCACTACATAAACTTATATGAGTATCACATAAATTTATCTCTATAGTATTATGACACCACATAGATTATATATTTAAAATATTCATAATACTACAACACTAGATAGTCAACAATCAAATCTTAAAGATCAATTGTAGTAGAAGTTGAATAGCTGAATTTATACGTTGGATAACACACCTTTACATAATTTAAATTTATGATAGGCACTTCTTAGTATAATATAATAATTCTCACTATTTGAAAACTTTAATATCATAGTCCTTAATTTAGTGCCTAATATAAATTATATTTAAAATCTTTAATTTAATTAAAGGTTAATTATAAACTAAAATGTGATATTAATAACTTCGCATAAATCTATAATTAACTGCATAAGAATTCAATCAGTTGGAGAAAGTGGAAAACGTCGACGTCATTATTAAATACCTTGACATAGTTTTTATCTGTATTTTTGGATTTTAGATTACATTGTATAGTACATATATATATTTATTTATTTATGGTGTGTGTCTGCGTACGTAAGCGTATACATATATCTAAGCTATATATATAAAGGAATTAAACGCTAGTCGTATCACTTAATTGAACTCTCCTGAAGAGAGTGGTCTTCTAATATAGCATGTGCAATAGAGTTTGAATACATATAAAGTAATTTCAATTTAAATTATTTCTACAGGTTTATATTTATTTTTCGATATTGAATTTGTACTCATTTTAATTATTATTATTTTGTTTAGTACAGAATGTCTAGAATTAGAAATTCATCCTACTCGGGAGCTACTACTCAAGTTATTCAGGAGACACAGATCATCGAGAAACCTCAAAAGAAAGAATTCAAAGCACAAATAGTGTGGAGTAATGTGGCTTTTGTGGTTATTGTACATTCGTCTGCCCTTTATGGGCTATATTTAGCTTTTACATCTGCCAAGTGGCTTACAATACTTTATGGTGAGTTGTGCTTTATATTTAGTTCGATATTTAATAATTTTAGGCATTATTAATAAGTTAAAATTTAATTTTGTAGGTACTTATCTCTATGTGATAACTGGTTTGGGTATCACGGCTGGAGTACATAGGCTGTGGGCACATAAAGCTTATAAAGCAAAATGGCCACTGAGATTATTATTAGCATATTGGAATACTATTGCATTTCAGGTATGACGTACTGAAAATTTAATATATTTTTATAATACTTTAAATATATTGCTCTTTCTTATATTGCTACGGTTCTTTTATAGAAATCTGTGTTTGAATGGTCACGAGATCATAGAGTCCATCATAAATTTTCTGAAACTGATGCGGATCCACACAATGTTAATAGAGGATTTTTCTTCGCTCATGTTGGATGGTTAATGCTCAGAAAACACCCGGAAGTAAGAAGCAAAGGAAGTGTTATTGATTTAAGTGATTTAGAGAACGATCCAATCGTACGGTTTCAGAAAAAGTAAGCATAATTCTTCCAAATTTTCTTTCAATTTACGTATATTAAAGTCTGTATAAATATTAACAAATTTAATTTTATTAAAGGTACTACCCTTTCTTGGTCGTTCTCTGTTGCTTCTACATACCAACAATATTACCTAATTGGTTATGGGGTGAATCATATTGGAATGCATTCTTTGTATCTGGAATGTTGAGATATTGTCTTGTACTTAATGGAACGTGGTTAGTCAATAGTGGAGCCCATATGTGGGGTTATCGTCCTTATAACCGTTTCATTAATCCTGCTGATAATAAGCTTATACATATTGGCACTGTAGGAGAAGGTTATCATAATTATCATCATACATTTCCTTGGGATTATTCAGCTAGTGAATTAGGCTATACATTAAGTTTGACAACAAAATTTATTGATCTCATGGCATGGATGGGTTTGGCTTACGATTTGAAAACTGTACCTCCGGAGATAATTAAGCACCGTAAAGAAACAACTGGAGATGGTACCGTTTACAACCGGAGATGGTAATTTCATAAATCGTATTAAGCTTATAGGCTTAATAATTTAGTCGACATTGATAACTTGAAAGATTTTAAGTCAATGTGTTGTCAAATTTCAATGATATGTCAGAGAACTTACTCTCAAATTTTAGGATATTTTTTAATTAATAATCCAAATTTGATTATTAATTTACAATTTGTACATTATGTGAATTTATTTACGTTGTATTTTATAATTAAGTTTTATNATTATAAGAATTGGGCCTATGTACTTTTTCCAAGAAATTTTCTTTAAATTTATAATAAAAATATATTTACTTGCGTTAACTGTTTTCATAAAAATTTGATTTAATAGCCTGATTAAATTGATGCATTAAATAGATTGGCTTATTACACCAATTTCTGCTACCAAGAACGAACTTAATTTTTAAAAATAGAATTTCATTGAATTATGATATATGATAACTTTCTTATAGCATCTATGTAATTCCGTTCACGAAATTAAGAAAAGACAGTAGGAATTTATAGGTATACAGTTTTTTCAAATTGCAACCTAATAATATTTATTTATATTTTATAACAAATAGACTAATGATGTTAATTCTTGAGCCTGACAGAAGTCAAGAAAAACTCGACTCGCTTACTTTTTCAAGGTACCTGATACATTAAAAAGTAAACAGGTGTTAAAAATTTGACTGATAGTAAAGTAAATGTTTTTCTTAATGCATACAAATACAATAAGATGAATAATTTGTTACAAAAGTTTTTGAAACTCCTTTAAATGTGAGCTGAAATAAAAGAGCGCGTGCGCTTGCTGGTCACCATGTAGCAAGGTCTGAACTGTTCGGCCAAATAGAAATATCTAAATTAAACAATATTGAAATTTTATTTATATTCTTCTTTGAAAAATTATTTTCGTTTCGACATATTTAAATTTTTATTCAATTTTTAGACATAAAAAATTATATTTTTTGTTTTCGTCATGAACTTTTAACGAGGTCAATCATTTTTAGTAATGCAATTTTTTTATTAATACGTCAGAAGAAAATTTTGTTATTTCATGGCTATTTCATTGAACAGTAAGTAAAAGTTTTGTGTTTTTTTTCTTTAAACTTTAAACTTAATTTTATTATTACTATTATTATTATTATTATTTCTTTTTTAAGTGTATATACACACTACACGAACAAAATTTCACTTAATGCTTAATTAATGTGATAATTATTATATGCAAATCCAAAACAATATAACATTTTAAATGATTTTAAAATAAGCGTAATGCCATTTAAAGTTATTTAAATTAATCAGATTGTTCAGGCACGTTAATTAGCCTCTGCACACCGATTACCAGGTAAATTTGTATAAACCAGTTTGCATTTATAGAATCTGTTATATGTGTAGTGTACTGTACTGTACAGTACCTATTATATATTATACCAACGGTGGGCAACCCCCGGCCCGCGGGCCAGCTACGGCCCGCGAAAAGTTTCTATCCGGCCCGCGAGATGTTTAAAAGAAATTATAAATAAATATTTTTCGATGTAATTCGTCTAGTTTAAATTGAATATTATTTTCTGAAGTGTTGTGGCAGCAATGACAGGAAAAAATAAGCGAGTAATTTCCTTATTCAAACAAAAAATGGGAGAACAGAATTTTTCTAAATTATTTATATCTCATCGCATCATCCATCAAGAAAATCTATGTGCAAAAGCTATGCAATTAGAAAATGTAATGTCTGTCGTATCCAACTACATAGTGCTGTTTTTATTGTGTTTAAAGTCACTTAGATTTTACAAATAGGTGAGC